GTTTTTTTCTCTGCTTTCTTTGGGTACGTTTACACGACAACGATGCGCTTAAAACTGAGAAATCTTTCCTTTGAGTTTTCCGCGCACAGACATCATCAAAACGATCCCAATTCACACGGATCCGCAAAATAACGACTAATAACACTGTATTCTGCTGCCAGGCCATTAGATGGAGGAGAAACACTACACGTAATATGTATGTGCATGACGTGAGCCTAGGCTCTTTATGTATGTGAGGACGTCATCGTCCTCAGAGATTCGGGTTTTTGTTGTTTACATGGAGACCGTTTTCAAAAACTTGCACTTTGAAACCTATTTCCAAAAGTTTGCGTTTTCAGGTGCCCAAAACACCATTGTCGTGTAAACAAACGGCCAAAACTCATAAAAAGCTTTACGTTTTTACTTGTCGTGTAAACAGCCCCTGTTTCAATCATTTCAATCATTTGTAATCTCGCTGATGACTGCTATCCTGATTGGTCCACTGGAGGAGGGGTCTGGAGTTACAAGGCAGAGCTGAGATGTTAGAAGTGTGGAGAACTGGAGCAACAGTCCCTTCTGTTGACTTCATGTTGGTGTTTGTGTTAACTTCTTGTTGTAATATTCCAAAGAAATTACCTTTAGTCCTCTTGTAAGAGAATCTCTTTAACCCAAACATGTGAGTAATTTTGTGTTAGTTAATCTTAACTGTATTTCTTTTCTTTTGGAAGCTGTTTTTTGGCCAGACAAGGAGATGGTGTATTTTTCTGTCATTGTTTTTACTTTCTTTTGTAATAGTTTATGTATATTGTTTTTGGTAGTTAGTAAATTTTTGGTTTATTATGTTGGCCTTGACCCCTCTTGAAGTTCTGTTTGCTTGCTTGTGTTAATACATTTATTTTCATTTTGCATCAACAATGGTGTTTTTTCTAAGTCAGCAGAAGGGAGTGCTTCCTCATTTCCCCAATTTTTCTATTAATCCTTCCGGTCTTGAGAGATAATACATCTCATAATGCACAGCATGTGGAAACGTGCAGCAGTTATGCTACAACAGTGTCAGGTTCACTTCTGTCAGCCAAGAACAGAAAGCTAAGGCAACAGTGTGCACAGGTTTGCCAAAAGTGGAAACACTGGAAAAACAGCCTGGTCTGATGAATCTCAGAATTTGGCAGCGAACGCGTTAATCCATGAACTGCACCTGCAGTGTGTGAACAGTCCCGGCTGGTAGTGGTGATGAAATGGTGTTAAGGGGAATGTGCCAATGTCTTGGTACACTTCAGGCCATTAATACCAATCAGTCATCACTTGAATAGGCAACACTATATGTTAGGCCCAGGCCCAGTACTCGTGAAGTATGCCCTTTTCAGGTCAGCCCGTGTACTTGAGCTAGATGCTCCATATGTAGTGATTTCCCAGAATCCCACTGAATGGCCGGGACACGCTCTCAGCTCCTTAGCACAAACCCAAATGAGTAGATGCACACCATCTAGTTTTACATCCGTATGTCCAGGGGAGTGGCGCATGCAAATTCCACTCGCCAATTCTCATTAGCCTTTACTCAAATATCAGAGGTGTTTGGGGCTCTTAAGTGTGACCCCTAGGCCGGGCCTAGTGTCCGAACATCGACACAACGTCTCGTTCCCTCCATCAGGGAACGGGGGTTACAACAGTAACCAGGATGTTCTGAGAGCAAAGTGACGACTGTTTTCCTAATAAGTGCTCAATGAGTGTATCGGTTCAAATTACTCAGTTCAGTTTGTATCACGGTAATCACGATAAGAATTAGACTTCCCGCGATAATAACGATAAAGCCTATCGTTAAAGACGTATTTCTGTTTTTGATCCATTTGCCGCTCACGTGCAGAGCGAAAACAACTATGGCTGAAGGTGGACGCGAAGCAGAGGAGTTTATCGCTAAACGAGGAACTCCCTCTACAATCTGGAACTGGTAAAGAGCACTATTTCAGTTCATCCTAATGAATGCACAGTGTATTTGACACACAGTAAACACTAGTGTGAGGCGCCCGACTCGCTGTCGGTTTACTGAGAGCGCTCAGTGTTTCTCACACACTCAAAGAAAGAGCGAGAGAGTCTTACATGCCACGCAGAATTGATGCTCTACATGTAAACAATGTAAACAATAGTTCATTTTAAATTATTCAGTCTTTATGAGCAAGCAGAAACTAATGCGCAAACGCAGACGTGATTGAAGGGTAACTCTTGGCAAAATTGAACCTATAGGCTCTTTTTGTTTATCTACCTGAGTCAAACTTTCGTGTAAAAGCATAATTAGAATGGAAACGGCACTTTTAAGATGGTCCGTATTTTCGTTTTAGGTAAAAATGCCTTTTGAATGGGAGTGCATTGGGCACTTCTATGATAGCATCAAAATCGCTGTTTTTAAAACACTAAGAATTTATTAAGCTGGAATTGTGCCAGTCAAAAGTAGTCGATCTCTGAATGCAACGTAACACGAGGAGAGTAAAGATGGAAAGCTCCTAAAGCTTGTTTCCATATAAATTCACGGATTTTTTTTGTTTTATCGTTAGTGAAATTACAAGTTCATGACATTTCCTCATATGGAGTCAGTTCATTACGTTGCATTCGGAGATCGACTACTTTTGACTGACAAAATTCCAGCCACCGGAAACACTAACTGATAGAGTTGTGCAAAACCTTTCTTTTAAGTAAACTTTATGTACACAAACAATGAATTTAATGCTCAAGTTCATGTGTAGAGGCCCTGGTGATACTTCGAGCACAGTTTTATGTTGTGTCGAGCTTTCTTAGTGTTTTAAAAACAGCGATTTTGAAAGTGGCGTTTCCATTCTAATTATGCTTTTACACTAAAGTTTGACTCGGTGCAATTTTGGCAAGAGTTACCCTTTCATATTCATGAACCCCGCTCATCAATCCTTAGTGCGGTTTATATTGTTATTAGTAATAGTATTCATAGTAGTAGTATTATCTTATCAGTATTATTGTTCGTTTTTTTACATTTCAAACTTGTAATTGATATGAATTATTATTGTCTGATGTTTTTCGGCACAGTTGCACCATTTAAACATTATCTGCACTTTTACAGAAGAAATGTATATCTGCAACTTTTCCATTTCTGCAAGGGCTGGTGTTTGGATTTTTCCTGTTTTTTTTTTTAAATTATTTTATGTAATTGGTACGTTATAGGAGCCTATTTGATGATGGGTATGTTTTACTTTAGATCAGTGTTTGTGTTTCTGAGGCTCTCATGACTACATGCAGCTGTCTCTTGTAGCCAAAAACAGTGGTGAATGAGTACTATATTTATATCGTCATTGATATTGTTATCGCAATAAATACCAGAAAATGTTGTGATATAGTTTTAAGTCCATATCGCCCATCCCTAGTGAGGATTTTTCCAATTTATTATATTAGTAAAAATATACTTGTCAATTATAATTGTGTTACATGCCCGAATCAGTCCATTTAAATGTAGTAGTAAAGCACAGAAGCAGCTGGCCTAATAAAACGGCATACAAGGGTGCAGATGTTCTGCAAAGCTCGAAATAACAAACACTTTGGTCACACATGCTCCCGAAATTTAATCTTTAATTTTTTACAGTCTATGGTGCAACCTCGGAATATATTTGGTAGTATCTGTGCGAGTGCAAATAATAATTAAGGTGCGTCCTGTTTTAATTTCTCTACAAAATGTTTGCTAATTACTGCACAGTATTTGCCTGCTGTGAGCTGATACAGTGACCGGTCCACCATTTTATCACATAACCAATTAAACTTCATCTTTACGTTCTTAACTTTAAGGCAGATTTTAGATTGGTTAATATTAGCCATCAAACACTCCCTTTGACTGCGCTCTGTTGTCACGTGACGGGGAGCTAACTAGTGTGCAAAATGTAAAGAGCTGAAGAGTCGGGAGAAGATGAAAAGAACAGAGATTTCTTTTGCAAGCCGTCCATCCACCATCCATCCAATGCACTGCGTTCACTGTAAAGGCTTTGGGACTGAGGTTGCAGGTAACACTGCAGTCGCCACTGAATCCACACTGGAGATGCTCAGATTATCTCTAACGTCACCTCCAAAACATCCACTACCCACCTGAAGATTTAGATATCCGCACCCAACTGCCGCATTACAATCATTCTAATTCTCAGTGTTACGCGTGATGATATGGTATGATATGGTGATTATATACTGTATTACACTGAAGTAGGCTTCTTTTAAATCAACATTTATTGCAAAATTACAAATCAACATAAATCAACATTTATGGCAAAATTACATTTCCTCAATAGCCTAAACACTAGCTTCACCCCCTTCCATCCCCTAAATAGTCACTGTTTCTGTTAGTGCAACCTCCCGAACACACACATTAAATACGTTCAGCCCAAGAAAAGCCTGAATATGGGCTTTATTTGTTTGTCATATAGACCTATACAGCGCTTAACAGCCGTTACAGATCACATACCCAGCCCTTGATTCATCCTGGTTAACCACTTCACTAAAACCCTCCCACTTTCTTTCCTTCCTTTTATTTTCTTTTTAATTCTTTTTTTTTTTAATTCTCTTGGATCTGCTTTGCCTCCATTGCTACTTAAACAAGTGGAGCCCGCAACTGTGTAGCTTAATCAGAGTCTGGAAATTAGTGTCTGACGAAAACAAACATTAATATTTCCAACATAATGTTGGAAAACATTTACAGAATATTTTCTGTTAAAGGATTAGTTCACTTAAAAATTTAAATTATGTCATAATTTACTGACCCGTTGTTTCAAACCTGTATGAATTTCTTTCTTCTGCTGAACACAAAGGAAGATATTTTGAAGAATGTCAGACAGTTGATGGACCCCACTGACTTCCATAGTAGGAAAAAAAATACTATTGAAGTCAATGGGGCCCATTGACTCTTTGGTTAACAACTTGAGGGTGAGTAAATGATGACCCAATTTTCTTTCCGTTTAATATAATGACTAGAATAGTGTAGTTAAGTAGGTTATGTGGATATGGTTAAGGGAGGTTCAGCATACCTAGGTTGACATCTAGCGCTTTATCATTGAACTGCGTCTCAATGCTGTGGGGTGAAAGGAAATCTGCCAACAGCTGGCTGTTACTCAGTTCAGGGTGATGCAGCAGTTTCTTGAGAAAACACACAGAAAACAAAAATATTCAAATGATCAAATGAACACACTTGAGGGCTTTTCACACTTGAAATCGTTAACCCTGGGTCATTATAAACCCTGAGTAAATGGAATCCTGGGTTATCTTGATTCACGTTTTACATTGCTCATAATTTACCAGGGTTAACAATTAATCCTGGGTATTCATAAATTTCACACTACATTCCTAAATCCTAGGTTAATGTCCTTATTTGCATATTCGAGGTGTCAGTGTCATTGATTGGACGATCTGTTTACATAAGGGCCATAGCATTGTGCATCCTCATATTACACTATTGACTGTACTATCAAGGTTTTTTTCTGAATGGATCTTTCGGACTGTAAATGTAAGAACAAAACTGTCTCTTCTTCATTCCAATTGACGTTTTTGCCGCTGCCATTTGATATTTTTCTCATCAAATGCTGTAACGACTTTTTATACAACGTGCAGTGTTTCTGTGACTGTACAAAGCACATGAATATGAGGCCCACGATTGGTTGTCTTTTGCTAGCATCTAGCCTTAACACTCTAACACTGCATAGATTCACACTTCACATGTTTGGCGTGGCAATGCAGGGTTAACACTTTAAAAGTCATATTCCTGGGTAAAAAGCAGTACTAACCCCACATCTAAATGACAAGTATGATATGGTCATTTACCCGGGGTTAAAAGAGGGTTTTAGCATGACGATAACCCAGGGTTAAACGCAGTGTGAAAAGCCCTTTGGAAAATTATTGTGTATATCTACAAATATTGTAGATCACCTTTCTTTTTACATATTCCCCCAGTTTCACAGACAAAGCTTAAGCTTAGTCCCAAACTAAAATGCATGTTTGAGCTGTTTTAACTGAAAGCAGCTTGCACTGACATATCTTAAAATATGTCACTGCCATTGTTTTGTTTTAAGATGCACATCAGTAATGTTTTTTCTAAGGCACATTTATTAAAGATGCTTAAATGTCCTAATTGAACTAAATCCTGGCTTAATCTAAGCCCTGTTTGTGAAACCAGGCCATTAAGTAAATGATGCTTTCAGCCAATCATTGTTAATTTGATGATATTTTTCTACCATGTTTAATATCCATTTAGCATTTAACTAGTTGTAATGTTATTACTCACACTGCTAGAGACTTTGAGCTTGTAATTTACTTTTACTTTTATAAATTTATAAGTACTGATTTTACTGATGTAACCTTATGGCAGACGGATGATGTTTATACTGTGTTAATAAGATGAATCAAGTGTACAAGGTCAAGTAAATTACCTGTAAATATTCCTCAAATTCACCTCGTTTGGAGGACAAGAATTCATAATTCTTTGGTCCAATGATTCTTTTGGAAGGAAGTTGAGCATCCTGGAATGGGCCTGTGATACAAAATCAAACTACAGAAATAAATAAACCACAAACATGTAGGCTCAGTCATGAAGAGAGAGACAATAGTTAACTTTACCATGAAACTCTGTGAGTTTAGATTCGAGCACATAAAACTCCACGTATCTTCTGTACACAGACCAGCTCTCGGTCTCATGCCCCACTGCAAAGCAAACAAGAACTTTCACAAAGTGGCTCTGTTCTCACAGGACATTGACGTAATTAAAAATGTTTTATTTATTTAGTCTAAATGTAGTTTTGAAACTCACCATTCTTCCTGTCGTGGCGTTCCACGTCGATGCAGAAGACTGGGTTGCGCTCTTTCTTAACCTCGTCCTCAGAAAAATCCACATAAGGGATTGAGATGGTCCAAGCGGAGAGGTTGCGGGATGATCCTGGAGTTCCAACCCCCTCCACAGGCACTGGAGAGTCGTCCTCAAACACCATCACTGCCTCCTCCACCTGACCGCACAGAACAGCAAATGTTCAGCCAGCCATTTCAATCATTTTTAGCACCAAAATGGATTCCAGTCCCAATTAAAATGCATGCGTGTTTGTGTGCACGGTCTGTAAAAGTTTCTTTTAACAATATGTTTTTAAAGCGTTGAGTATAAAAACAAATGCTGAGTTTGAGAAATCAGTGGCAAATCAGAATGGTTTAAGGTTGTCAAAATCCACTTAATTCCATTCAAAACAGTATAAAAGCAGACTAACATGCTACAAGCAAATGATTCAATGCTTCTGTATACTGTATCAGTGTAGACAGCGTCAGTCATTATAATCTGAACACGCATCTGTATACTGTATCAGTGTAGACAGCGTCAGTCATTATAATCTGAACACACATCTGTATACTGTATCAGTGTAGACAGCGTCAGTAACTATAATCTGAACACACATCTGTATACTGTATCAGTGTAGACAGCGTCAGTCATTATAAACTGAACACATCTGTATACTGTATCAGTGTAGACAGCGTCAGTCTTTATAATCTGAACACACATCTGTATACTGTATCAGTGTAGACAGCGTCAGTCATTATAAACTGAACACATCTGTATACTGTATCAGTGTAGACAGCGTCAGTCTTTATAATCTGAACACACATCTGTATACTGTATCAGTGTAGACAGCATCAGTCATTATAATCTGAACACACATCTGTATACTGTATCAGTGTAGACAGCGTCAGTCATTATAAACTGAACACACATCTGTATACTGTATCAGTGTAGACAGCGTCAGTCATTATAAACTGAACACACATCTGTATACTGTAACAGTGTAGACAGCGTCAGTCATTATAATCTGAACACACATCTGTATACTGTATCAGTGTAGACAGCGTCAGTCATTATAAACTGAACACACATCTGTATACTGTATCAGTGTAGACAGCGTCAGTCATTATAAACTGAACACACATCTGTATACTGTATCAGTGTAGACAGCGTCAGTCATTATAAACTGAACACACATCTGTATACTGTATCAGTGTAGACAGCGTCAGTCATTATAATCTGAACACACCTCTGTATACTGTATCAGTGTAGACAGCGTCAGTCACTATAATCTGAACACGCATCTGTATACTGTATCAGTGTAGACAGCGTCAGTCACTATAATCTGAACACACATCTGTATACTGTATCAGTGTAGACAGCGTCAGTCATTATAATCTGAACACACCTCTGTATACTGTATCAGTGTAGACAGCGTCAGTCACTATAATCTGAACACACATCTGTATACTGTATCAGTGTAGACAGCGTCAGTCATTATAATCTGAACACACATATGTATACTGTATCAGTGTAGACAGCGTCAGTCACTATAATCTGAACACACATCTGTATACTGTATCAGTGTAGACAGCGTCAGTCACTATAATCTGAACACACATCTGTATACTGTATCAGTGTAGACAGCGTCAGTCATTATATAATCTGAACACACATCTGTATACTGTATCAGTGTAGACAGCGTCAGTCATTATAATCTGAACACACATCTGTATACTGTATCAGTGTAGACAGCGTCAGTCATTATAATCTGAACACACATCTGTATACTGTATCAGTGTAGACAGCGTCAGTCACTATAATCTGAACACACATCTGTATACTGTATCAGTGTAGACAGCGTCAGTCACTATAATCTGAACACACATATGTATACTGTATCAGTGTAGACAGCGTCAGTCTTTATAAGCTGAACACACATCTTTATACTGTATCAGTGTAGACAGCGTCAGTCATTATAATCTGAACACACATCTGTATACTGTATCAGTGTAGACAGCGTCAGTCACTATAATCTGAACACACATCTGTATACTGTATCAGTGTAGACAGCGTCAGTCATTATAATCTGAACACACATCTGTATACTGTATCAGTGTAGACAGCGTCAGTCACTATAAACTGAACACACATCTGTATACTGTATCAGTGTAGACAGCGTCAGTCACTATAATCTGAACACACATCTGTATACTGTATCAGTGTAGACAGCGTCAGTCTTTATAATCTGAACACACATCTGTATACTGTATCAGTGTAGACAGCGTCAGTCTTTATAATCTGAACACACATCTGTATACTGTATCAGTGTAGACAGCGTCAGTCATTATAAACTGAACACACATCTGTATACTGTATCAGTGTAGACAGCGTCAGTCATTATAAACTGAACACACATCTGTATACTGTATCAGTGTAGACAGCATCAGTCACTATAAACTGAACACACATCTGTATACTGTATCAGTGTAGACAGCGTCAGTCATTATAATCTGAACACACATCTGTATACTGTATCAGTGTAGACAGCGTCAGTCTTTATAATCTGAACACACATCTGTATACTGTATCAGTGTAGACAGCGTCAGTCATTATAAACTGAACACACATCTGTATACTGTATCAGTGTAGACAGCGTCAGTCATTATAAACTAAACACACCTCTGTATACTGTATCAGTGTAGACAGCGTCAGTCATTATAATCTGAACACACATCTGTATACTGTATAAGTGTAGACAGCGTCATTCACTATAAACTGAACACACATCTGTATACTGTATCAGTGTAGACAGCGTCAGTCACTATAATCTGAACACACATCTGTATACTGTTTTAGTGTAGACAGCGTCAGTCTTTATAATCTGAACACACATCTGTATACTGTATCAGTGTAGACAGCGTCAGTCTTTATAATCTGAACACACATCTGTATACTGTATCAGTGTAGACAGCGTCAGTCATTATAAACTGAACACACATATGTATACTGTATCAGTGTAGACAGCGTCAGTCATTATAAACTGAACACACATCTGTATACTGTATCAGTGTAGACAGCGTCAGTCATTATAATCTGAACACACATCTGTATACTGTATAAGTGTAGACAGCGTCAGTCATTATAATCTGAACACACATCTGTATACTGTATCAGTGTAGACAGCGTCAGTCATTATAATCTGAACACACATCTGTATACTGTATCAGTGTAGACAGCGTCAGTCTTTATAATCTGAACACACATCTGTATACTGTATCAGTGTAGACAGCATCAGTCATTATAAACTGAACACACATCTGTATACTGTATCAGTGTAGACAGCGTCAGTCATTATAAACTGAACACACATCTGTATACTGTATCAGTGTAGACAGCGTCAGTCATTATAATCTGAACACACATCTGTATACTGTATAAGTGTAGACAGCGTCATTCACTATAATCTGAACACACATCTGTATACTGTATCAGTGTAGACAGCGTCAGTCATTATAATCTGAACACACATCTGTATACTGTATCAGTGTAGACAGCGTCAGTCATTATAATCTGAACACACACCTGTATACTGTATCAGTGTAGACAGCGTCATTCACTATAATCTGAACACACATATGTATACTGTATCAGTGTAGACAGCGTCAGTCACTATAATCTGAACACACATATGTATACTGTATCAGTGTAGACAGCGTCAGTCACTATAAACTGAACACACATCTGTATACTGTATCAGTGTAGACAGCGTCAGTCATTATAAACTGAACACACATCTGTATACTGTATCAGTGTAGACAGCGTCAGTCATTATAATCTGAACACACATCTGTATACTGTATCAGTGTAGACAGCGTCAGTCTTTATGATCTGAACACACATCTGTATACTGTATCAGTGTAGACAGCGTCAGTCTTTATAATCTGAACAGACATATGTATACTGTATCAGTGTAGACAGCGTCAGTCATTATAATCTGAACACACATCTGTATACTGTATCAGTGTAGACAGCGTCAGTCACTATAAACTGAACACACATCTGTATACTGTATCAGTGTAGACGGCATCAGTCACTATAAACTGAACACACATCTGTATACTGTATCAGTGTAGACAGCGTCAGTCATTATAAACTGAACACACATCTGTATACTGTATCAGTGTAGACAACGTCAGTCTTTATAATCTGAACACACATCTGTATACTGTATCAGTGTAGACAGCGTCAGTCACTATAAACTGAACACACATCTGTATACTGTATCAGTGTAGACGGCATCAGTCACTATAAACTGAACACACATCTGTATACTGTATCAGTGTAGACAGCGTCAATCACTATAAACTGAACACACATCTGTATACTGTATCAGTGTAGACAGAGTCAGTTATTATAAACTGAACACACATATGTATACTGTATCAGTGTAGACAGCGTCAGTCACTATAAACTGAACACACATCTGTATACTGTATCAGTGTAGACGGCATCAGTCACTATAAACTGAACACACATCTGTATACTGTATCAGTGTAGACAGCGTCAATCACTATAAACTGAACACACATCTGTATACTGTATCAGTGTAGACAGCGTCAGTCACTATAAACTGAACACACATCTGTATACTGAATCAGTGTAGACAGCATCACTCATTATAAACTGAACACACATATGTATACTGTATCAGTGTAGACAGCGTCACTCATTATAAACTGAACACACATGTATACTGTATCAGTGTAGACAGCGTCAGTCATTATAAACTGAACACACATCTGTATACTGAATCAGTGTAGACAGCATCAGTCATTATAAACTGAACACACATATGTATACTGTATCAGTGTAGACAGAGTCAGTCATTATAAACTGAACACACATGTATACTGTATCAGTGTAGACAGCGTCAGTCACTATAAACTGAACACACATCTGTATACTGTATCAGTGTAGACAGCGTCAGTCACTATAAACTGAACACACATATGTATACTGTATCAGTGTAGACAGCGTCAGTCTTTATAAACTGAACACACATCTGTATACTGTATCAGTGTAGACAGCGTCAGTCATTATAAACTGAACACACATCTGTAAACTGAATCAGTGTAGACAGAGTCAGTCATTATAATCTGAACACACATCTGTATACTG